ATACATATAGTCTGTTTGATAAAATTTTGTCCACTTAAACTTTTACATGGAAACTGCTACACGCGAAATTCCAAAGAGTTAATAGTGGGATAATTTTATTAAGATGTTTGGAATAGAAAGCTTCAATTGTTGTCCGACCTTCGTGAAAAAAAGACATATATTTCGTGATGCGTGCATACGCATAGCGTTTTGATGATTTGTTTTTTTTGTATACATCCTGAAAGACCAAAAATGTCGTGCTTTGCTGTTATTAAGTATATGAAAAAGTTTAAAATATTTATAAGTGAGGGGGCCAACCGCTACTTATTGAGGTGAAAAAAGTCGATGATTTCCCGGAACGTAATTCTATGCAGATAACGACGGACAGTAGATGCACTGATTGTACGAATATTTGTAGACAATATCATAGTGACGTGAATTGAAGCCGTATCGAAGAAAAAAGGGCTAAATCATATGTCATGTGACACAATAAGATGTATACGTGCACATAATGAAAAATATCGAAGCAAAGTGAAGAAACTTCCGCTGTCTGAAAAACACGTCGAGAAAAGAATTGCTTGGGTGTACCGAGATCTTGTTCAGCTTGATATACTTTTTTGTATATATTAGGTGTACAACTTTGCTTCAGCCGTTTTTTTCCGAAATTCGAGGCTTTATTGTAAAAAACTGGTTATACATTTATGACTCAAAGTATTGTCCATCGCTGACCACTACTTTCTCCCATCTTTCGACCAGCGTACGAATCCCGCGTTGAAAAAACTGGTCATCTTTTGAAGCGATCCACGAATCCATGCAATTTCTTACTTCTTCATAAGACCGGAAATGCTGGTCAATCAGGCCGTGTGCCATTGATCGAAACAAGTGATAGTCAGAGGGAGCAACGTCTGGAGAATACGGCCGGTGGGGTAGGACTTCCCATTTCAACGTTTTCAAGTATGACTTGACCATTCTCGCAACATGGGGTCGAGCATTGTCATGGTACTGTTACGTCCTGCTGACTCAGCGGACCCTAGACTTCTTTTATAAATAAGGGAAATCGAATTTATGATTACTTATCATATGGCCGAATGCGCTCAGGCATGATACCACACGACGATATCTCTGGAATTTTCGATACCCCGAAAATACTAACAATCTTGAATCAACTCCTATCCTGTTTTCCACGCGCTTAACCATTGATAATAGTACCACGACATCGTTCTTAGAAATATCGATATGTACTTCTTAAGATAGCTGCCACGTTTTTTTTATTTACAAAAGACTTTCGAAATCCCCTTATTGCCACATGCAATTTATCTCCTATAAAATAATCTTCTGGAACATTTCCCCCAAAACCCCACTCTCTCAACCGAGCTGACTTTTTGAGAAAAGTCAAAAGCCTCACTCACTTCTCGCCGATCCAGCACCCAGGACAGACGCTTCTCTCCAGCACCCCTTCAGGGTTTCTTAACAATCAAGCCAACTTGTGGCTTAGACCGACCAGTATTCTTCACTTGTTAATTATTCGGTGCAACGATCTTGTGCTTTCTTGGGCCATTGAGAGCGATCCTGCCGAAACCAGCTGCCTGTCCTTGGCGCAGAACTTGAGGCATCTATCCTCACAGAGACGCAACAACCACACCTTTCATTGTCTACTAAGATCAGAGAAGTCCAGCAGTAAGTTGCTTATATTTTCTTTTACCTGAGTGACCTCTTTCGTTTCATTTTTTTATCTTTTCTTCTCTCTCTTTTCTTTTCCTTTCGTTTTACTTCCGTTTTCTATCCTCCTTGGCATTCCTCCTTAATTGTTAAATCAGACGTCAGTGGCCCAATCCTTTCGATCACAGTCGGACATAACGAACACGGAATATTGTTCTGAGTAATCGAGAATCATTGTTCTGAGCCCGATTGTTAACCACATATGTATACGGACACATTATAAAATCTTACAAATTTTATTTCATTGTGAACTTCCGTCTAATCACTAATAAAACAAGTTGTTTGTAATTGTAAACCAATCACGTTTTCCAAATAATTATTCTCAACCAAAAATTCTCCCTTCCCTCAACTGTCGCTCACGGTCCTATCCCAGGTAAAAGGATTCAGTTCCATGACCTAAATAAAGGACCACCGACGTACGTCTGCGCCAGATAAAGGGATCATTCCGATCCTTGATCTGTTCCGCAGATTTGCGAGTACGTCGGAGCTTGCGAAAGCAAGCGTCAAGTTGCGTTCCTCCTGCAGGACGTAACACTACAAAATCACTTTATCGTGTCTCTCGTTGTATTGTGGCCGTTTGTCTTTCAATGCTCGGCTCAAACGCATTAATTGCGTTCGATAACGATCGCCTGTGATTGTTTCAGTCGGTTTTAACAGCTCATAATACACTACGCCGAGCACTGGTCCCACCAAATGCAGAGCATGACTTTGGAGCCGTGAATATTCGATTTGGCCGTCGACGTGGAAGCATGGCCGGGATGTGCCCATGATTTTCTGCGCTTGGGATTATCGTAATGATCCCAATTTTCGTCCCCAGTCATAATGCGATGCAGAAATCCCTTCCGTCTTTGCCTTTCAAGCAACTATTCACAAGCAAACAAACGTCGTTCAACATCTCTCGCTTTCAACTCGTACGGCACCCAATTTCCTTGCTTCTGAATCATTCCCATGTCTTTGAGGCGTTTTGAAATTGCTTCTTGAGTCACTCCCAATGATCGTGCCAATTCTTCTTGACATTGACACGAGTCTTCATTAAGTAATGCCTCCAATTCTGCATCTTCGAAAACCTTCTCTCTTCCATCACTATGCCGGTCTTCGACGTGAAAATCACCGTTCTTGAAGCGTTGAAACCACTCACGACACGCTCTTTCACTAATAGCGGCCTCACCATAAGTATTTAAGAGCATTCGATGACCCTCAGCCGCAGATTTATTGCCAAGTTTATTGCACGACGTCTATGATCTATTTATTTCGAACATTACTTACCGCTAAAGCCATTTATAGGAAAACGGCGGAAGCAAAGTTGCAAAGTACACCTAATACGTAATTTACTCGTACACGAGTATTATGTCATCAGTATTATGTGATCAGAGATATATTCTGATTTCATTGAATTAAAATGCGTATTCGGCTGTGGTGCATATGGCAAAGCAAATATGACGCATTTATCAATATTTGCATGAAAAATAACAAGCTATTGTAAATATAGTCTGTTTTAATTTTAAAGGCCGCGAATTTTTCTTGCTTATTGAATGTTTTTTTTTTTAATTTAGACGTGATAGATAGCAGACGACTCGTTACTTTATAATGATGCGTCACGTCTGTCCGCTGTGAACAATGCAGTGGATCATGAATGAAGACGAGAAACTCTTTATTGTACGTGTAAGTTGTACTCGAACTGCTAACTTACTGGTCAAGCGGTTACGTTGCCTTACTGTTATGATTCTTTGTTACATGCAAAAGTCCATCAATATAAGTTTCTCAACAAATGAAATCCGACAGCCAAAGAACGCGTAAAAATGGATATAATGGGTGAAACTCTAACCTGCTAAATGGTCGTTCAGGAATAAGTATCCTTTGATCACTTCGTTTAGAAGCGCAGTCATGATGAAAATCGAATAATGTTTATAATTTTCTTATTATAATCTTCGTACACTTAATTGGATCTCTTTCTCTATCTTTTTTATTTCTTCCTTGGTCCAAATATCTGTACCTCTAATCTTTTTCCCCAAAACAGTTATCTTAAAATACAATGTTCGTTGTTGGAGAAGTATTGGTTTCTTTCTTTGCTGATTCTCTTCGACACGACGAGCTACTTCGCAATTTTTCAAACAACTGTCGGACAGGTTGCTTCTCATCAAATTTCTCTCTTGACTTCATTATATTACAATGAGGAGAATGTTAAATATGTACACTGACGCGTGCATGAAAATTATCATGTGCTGTCTCATGGAAATCGTCGACTTCTCGAATAACTTAACCCGTCCATGACGATGAAAAAGTATTGAATATTAAATATTCATACGAACGCACGTCTCATTTTCTATTGATCAACTTTGTAGATTGAATAGTTCAAGATTTCCAACACAGTTTCTTGTTGCAGGAAATGACGACGTTATGTCACTAAGGTGAAATCCTTTTAAATAAAATAAAGAAGAAAGAGAGGAGAAAAAGGTAATTGATATAATTAAGAAGCAAACTACATTCTGCATAGGGTCAACGTAACATTATACACATTTCGTGATCTTCCATATGTACGGTCGCGGACATAAAGGTTGTCACTTTTTTTTCTAATGACTTTCGGGACGCATCCCGACTTGAGAAAGATGAGAGCTGCTGCTCCGCCTGCGGAGCACGCCTGCGCTGTAACTCACAACGAAAGGCGAGGAATGAAATATATGGTATGACATAAGTATGTCAACAATCATTTGCGTTTACCGGAGAAAACCGCTCAGTGAGCGATTAGTGACTATTGGTCCTTACTGTTAGATCCTTACATTCGGACCAATAACGTTGACAAATTATTCAACAGTTGCTCAACCGTTGAGTGTCGTGAACGCACCCAATTCTTACATTTTGAAAAATCAGCAGCGGAGGGATAGATACATAGTGTAAGTCATTCAAATGGGAATGCGTCTTTTGCAAGGTATTGAACAGGAACAGGTATGTATATTAAATTTTAAGTGAAATCGAATTTATTTAGTCACTAATCGCTCACTGAGCGGTTTTCTCTGCTGAATGCAATAATTGTTGACATACTTATGTCATACCACGTATATTTCATTTCTCGTCTTTCGTAGTGAGTTACTGCGTAGGCGTGCTCCGCAGGCGGAGCAGCAGCTCTCATCTTTCTCGAGTTGGGATGCGTCCCGAAAGTCATTAAAAAAAAGTGACAACCTTTATGTCCATGACCGTACATACGTGAGTCGTTTGTAATGTTTCAAGCCTGAACATGAAGATGTCGTTACTGCGTGGAAAATGTTGTAAGATGTGAAAACTACATTTTTTAAATAACTGCTCCGTAATGCTTAGCCCTAAGTTTAGTTATTGCAATGTTTAGTTTTTGCAATGAGTTGTAATATGCGTGTCAGTATGTTTAGTTAACGATGGAAAAAATCAAATTTCGTTCCGTAATTAAACATTTGAATCTGAAAGGGAAAACCATAAGAGAAATCAAAACCAAGTTGGATTCTATTTACGGTGATTTTGCTCCTTCATTTTCAACGGTGAAAGATTGAGTTACCCGAGTTTAAGGCTGGCCTACAAGTATATCTGATGACGAGCGCTCGGTTCGCCCAAAAACTGCAATCAGGAAATGGTCGGCAAAGTGCATCATATCGTACTAAATGATCAGAGATTGAAGGTCAGAATAATAGTAAATGACGCAGGCACATTTTCTGAACGTATGTTTAAAATATTACATGAAGATTAGGATATGAGAAATTTGACTGCATGATGGTTGCCGCATTTGCTGATGTTGGACCAAAAATACATTCGACAAAACATTTCAAAGGAAGGTGTTGCGTAATTCTTCTTTAAGACCTGTGCGGACCTCTGACTTGGTCGTGTTTAAAATAATTTGCGACCAAATAGCTGCAACAGGTGGGCGAGATTGTTCTCCGAATAATTCGGAAGCAAGGCCATTCGGTTCAGTCTCCTCTATATCAGGCAGGTTTTCTTCAAGCGTTGCTGTGATCACTGGTGTAGAGAAGGAAACATTATTAGGTGGAGATGAGACCTGTCCTAAAAGAAAAGGAGAGTGTACTGGAAATGCGATGGAAAGAGAGCAGATGTTTATATCCCTTTTGTGTCGCTATTCGTGGCGAGAAGCCAATACGGGGACATACCTGGATCGCCATCCTGGCCCCTGAAGGCCCTATGCTCAACGTATATCTCGGCAGAAGCCTCGCCGGACTTTTCCGAGGACAACGTGTGATCTAGTGGCGGAGGTAGAATCGTTGGTCTCTCCCCGTCCTCCGACACCTCGCTGGGTGCCGGGGACCTCCGATGCTTCCAATAATCCATAAACTCGCTTAGTGTGTGTAAGATTCGGTCACAAGATGGTGAACGCGTCACTGAATACTCTCTCTCTCAAGCTGGTGCGGCGACTGGCGAGAGAGGTTAAGTCGCGATCTTGAGAGCGATCGAGAACCTGATCGCCTGCTAGAGGACCGCTCCCGGTGCTTACGTCGGCTCTTTAGTGAAGAACGTGGGGATCGGTCTTTCCGATGCTTCATCATGTCGAGAAAATTGGAAAAGTATAAAATAAGCGCGGAAACTTGAACTCACTTGACTCTGTAAGAAGAGAAAACACAATGAGGTTACAGCGCGCGTGGCGGCGCAGGGTGCGACAAAGCGCGCGCAGCGCTACTGGGCAGGCAGGATGCGACAAGGCGCGGGGGCGCCTTTTTTTATTTGAACTCTGTTGACGATGTAGGTAAGAAAGGATAACTACATAGTTAATCCATCTGGACAAGACCAGAGGGAATAAATTGTGTTTGACTCGATAAATACGTTACCATGGGGACATTATAGTATACCATTATGTCGTTTATTTGTTTTATTAGCTATTTTACAATTAAGTATGTCATCAAATGTTATAATAAAACTGTATTCATTTTTACAATATATTATGCCTTTGTATCCATGAATTATGCGAATTGTCGAATACCAACCATTTTACATACAGGGTTTGTCAAAAGTGTGGAAACCCTTAAATAATTTTTGTAAAAATGAAAATATCAAAAAACGGTAAAACATGTATTTTGATTTTTCAAGAAAGCTTGGATACCGATCATTCTCCACCCCCTTGTACGCGGGGATAAAAGGGGGTTGAAAATTTTTAATTGGACTAAGGATCGAATGGGGGCTCATTTGAAAGGTCTTTTCATAACAAACACACCCTTAAAATTTTAAGTCGCTACGACCTCCCCCCATTAAAAATGGCGGCCGTTTAAATTTCAAAATTTCATGCACTTAGTGTTATCCAGGATCAACCGGCTACTTAAAATCAGTTGTTCTCACTGCTACTTAAAATCAGTTGTTCTCACAGCTACTTAAAATCAGTTGTTCTCACGGCTACTTAAAATCAGTTGTTCTCATGGCTACTTAAAATCAGTTGTTCTCACTGCTACTTAAAATCAGTTGTTCTCACAGCTACTTAAAATCAGTTGTTTTCACGGCTACTTAAAATCAGTTCTCACAGATCTTAGGCAGATTAAAAATTAAACGTTTTAAAAATGGCTAGCGAATTGTCGGAACGTGAAAAAATCACTATCCTCATGATGCGTGGATGGGGTGATAACGAACGGTCGTACGCTGCTGTCGCTCAATTATTTGATGAGACGTATCCGAATCGTCGAATTAATAAGTCCACTGTCCTAAAAACAATGGAACGTTTCAGAGAAACTGGTAGCGCAAACAATCGCCCTAATCAGAGAAACCTGCCGTTAACGAAAAAAAACAACTAGATGTTCTGCAAATATCTATTGAAAGTCCCAATTCTACTATTAACAGAGCCGCTCAAACTCATAATATTGCTCCCAAGTCTGTTTGGAGAATTTTAAAGAAAAACAAGTTCCATCCATACAAATTACAATATGTCCAAGAATTGCAAGACGGAGATGTGGAGCTTCGTATAGATTTCTGTGAAAGAATGATGGCACCATGTTCGGCCCATGTTCCCTTATCAAATTGGTTTTACATACGAGGCAACTTTCACGTTAACGGGAGAAGTTATTGGGTGTACAAATTAGTTCGGTCCGTTTTCAAAAGATGGCTCCAGCTGTTATGAATGGTTTATAGTGACTGCCGATTTTGGCGGTTTCAGAGAGGTTAGACATCTACCAATAATATTCAGTTTATATCGCTTTGAGTTTCATATAAAACCTTGCTTCTTACAGTGTTGAAAATGTCGAATTTTGTGTTAACCAAGCAGCATTTGCGGGAGGTTTTAATTTTCTGCTTTAATTGGAAGAAAAGTGCAGCTGAAGCCCATCGAATGCTTGTTAAAGTTTATGGTGACGCTGCTCCAAATGATAAATCATGTAGGGAATGGTTTCGACGTTTCAAGGATGGAGATTTCAGCGTCGAAGACAAGCCTCACTCTGGACAGTCAAAAAAATTCGAGGACAAAGAATTAGAGGCATTACTCGAAGAAGATCAGAGTCAAACGCAAGAGGAGCTTGCAGAATCATTGAGAGTGACTCAACAAACCGTTTTCGTACGATTGGGACATGGGAATTATTCAAAAACAAGGAAATTGCGTGCCTTATGAACTGAAACCGAGAGACGTTGAAAGGCGTTCTTCATGACAACGCTCGGCCTCATGTCGTAAAAAGCCAAAAGTCGTAAAAAAATATTTGGAAACGCTCAAATGGGATGTTTTACCGCACCCGCCGTATTCTCCGGACATTACTCCTTCTGATTACTAGTTGTTCCGAAGGATGCAGCACGATTTGGCAGGTCACCGGTTCACTTCTTTCGCAGATATCGAAAATTAGCTCCAAACTTGGAAGGCCTCAAAAGACGAGTCATTTTTTCAAGATGGATTTCGAAAATTGCCTGAGAAATGGGAGAAAGTAGTAGCCAGCGATGATAAATACTTTAATTTATCTGTTCATTCTGTTCATTCATTTTGTTTTGAAATAAATACATCTTTTAACACAAAGAACGGACCGAACTAATTTGTATTCCCAATATATAACCATTTTAATTTGTTTATACATAAAATAAAATAAAATTAAAAAGAGATACTTATGATTTTGTTTACCTCCTCTCTTGTCGTGACGTAGTGACCTCATGCACCGTTTGTGAAGCTTTACTATGCATCCACTAGCAACAGTCCACGTTGGTCTGAATGGTTAGACCGTCGCATAGTAACCCCGGGTTCGAGTCTGGCTTCGTCCTGACGTACATTTTCTTTTGACGTATGCGTCATCACACACACGTTGTGAGAAGCTTTCGCTATGCGTCCCGCTAACAATTGTCTATTAACGTGATCCAGGTAGTCGAACCGTTGCATAATAGGAACCCCGAGAGTCCGGGTTCGAGTCTCGCATCGTCTCCTGATATACATTTTCTCTTGACGTATGCGTGAAGTCATGGTCATCATCTTGCCCATAGAAGCAATAAAAAAGATTTTGCGGAAAGAGTTATCGATAAAAAATTTAATCAATTAACATCCAATTTTACTTAAAGATTTTGCAATTTGAGTTAGAGACCGTATTCCTTTACTACTAGTGACCTTCCTTCTTTCTTCATATTGATACGAAGCGCAAAAAAGTAGAGTTTCATTCGGCCAGAAACATTATGGGGATTGTTTTGTGAAATGGCCATGACATATGTCTCATCGATTATTTTTGAAAAAAAAAACTGTCACTGTTACACATCATGCTTCATTATTAGAATATCAGAACATACTAATATACTAATTCTATATAATAATATACTAAATATACTAATTCATATACAATAACACTAATACTAATTCACACATATGCAATCATCATGACCAAATTGCTTTATTACTTAAAAACTTGCTTTGAATGAAATGACTTGTCTTCCCTCCACTATTCGTTTGATCTAGCCTATGCGGCTTTTTTATTAGAACACAAAGAAATGGCTAGATGAGAAAAATTCGCAATCAACAGAGAAGCAATTGCAACAGTAAATGAATATTTTGCAGGGCTTGACCTAATCTACTTCGCTGTCGGAATGAGAGGACTAGAAGAGAGATCGACAAAATGTATCGAGATAAAAGAAAACTATAGTGAAAAAAAATCCATTTTGTCCAAAACCGTAAGTTCTTTATTGTTAGATTCGTGATTAATCAAACAGCCGATGTACATTGTATATTGTGAGCGAAACTGTTGTGAAATGCGATAACTTCATTGCGAGTTCATAAGTAATAAAGGACTAACATTTAACAATTTGATACCGATACATTAAAAATAAAAATATAATAACAGAGACAAATCGAGCGGATAATACGCCACGCGAAATTATCGCTCTTTCAATTTGCCACTTGAGATTTTCGCGGGGACGCCGTCCATCTCCATTTTCGTCGTCGCTACTGTACTTGTCGGCTTCTTCTTACTGTACGCGTAGTAGTAAAAGTCCGCAAATAATACAAGCATGAAAACTTGTTGCGGCAGCAACACCAGTGCTGGCCATAGCGGGTAACCGCAATCCATCCACAGTAATTGAGAAGTGTGATACGCCAATATAAAGAATTGCAGCATTTGTAGCTGAGTGATATGCTTCTTCCATGATTTCGTGTCTATTTTCATAGATGACAACAAATAGTGCGTGTACATAATCGAATGAACGAGTGTGTTGATTACTCCTGAAAGAAAATATTAACGATCGATCAAAAAACATAATGAGATGCAAATTCCCACGGCTGCATGTTATAAAATGGTTGTTAATCACAGTAATAAATTATACGAGAATGTTGGATTGGTGTCGCCGTGAAATACTTCATATACAAGTGAATTTATAAAAGATGAAGGGCATTTGCCAAAAAAATTTGTTTCTCCAGCATATTACGTAATACAGATCTTAATATTCCGCGAGTACATTTATCATTGCAATTATACGTACCTATAAATGTACCGTGACCACCGGGATAATATTTAAGGGCAGTCCAAACCGCTATTACCATGCCACAGTGGTGATATACGTGAAGGAAGTTGACTTGACTTTGTTTCTTTCTAAGTACAAAGAAGAATGTCTCCAGCAGATCTGCGATCTTGAGCATGAAGTAATACCACACCAATCTGGCAATCTGGTAAGTGGTTAAAATGTGTATTGTTTTGTCATTCAGTAACCTTTCTTCTTTTTTTAATACGAAGCGCAGAAAAATAAAGATTTCTCATGGCTATGATATAACTATATAATATACTAAATATCGTCTTATTTACAAAATGTAAGTACAAATTTCGCAGAATTAGCATCGGTGAAAGAAGATCAGAACAGAAAGAGAGTAAGGCAAAGTATGAGAGACGGGGTGTAACACATCCTGCTAATTTCTGTACATATGTAATTAATTAATTTCTTACAATTACCTGTATTGCATTTGGTGTATACGAGTAATCGACAGGTTCGCAATTAAAATTGTATCCCCTTAACCAAGCTGTATTTAATAGCTGTGTAAATATAAAATGTCTGTAAATCTTTTTAGACTTTTATAGACCAGTGTCATTTTGCTCGCCCCATTTATATAATAAAATGATCAATTTAGGATAATTCAGGTACAATGTTAAATATTACATTTAGAAGCATTCTTTCCTTTAAGCGTA